AATGGNTACCGGGTTTTTACCGAGCTACACCCCGGTCCAGCCTGGTTACCGTTATAAATTGTTTTTTTTTAACTTTTTGACCGTTGCCAACGGTCAAATTAAAAAATGACCGTTGGGCAACGACCATTTTTTGCAAAATGGCCATTTCGGCCTACCCCTTAAGAAAATAGCCCCCCACCCCTAATAATTGATAAATTATAATTTTAACATTTTAAAAACTATAAATACCTCCCCTTCTTTTTTATTTTTTCTCACAATTTGCTCTCTTACTACTTTAATTCTTTCTCAATTCTCTCTTGATAATATTGCTTATTGCTCTTAAATTCTCAATTACTTATTATTTCAAGTTTCATCAAATATTTACTTTAGTCACTACAAAATTATAATTATCAAATATTAAGTATTCAAGTGAATTGTGGTATCAATATTCAATATCATCAAATATCAAGTATCATTCTATCAATTGAAGCTTGATATCAAATTTAGTGCGGCATCCAGAATCCAGGCACACTCGTTCTATCTCTTTCTCTTCTTTGGTGTATATTTTTATTTTATTCTTTAGAATTATTAATTTAATTTCTTAATTTAATTTACATAATGGATATATTTAGAGCAGCCAAAAAAGCGTGTACTAGTAGGGGTGGTAGTAGTAAGAGTAAAACTTCTAAAAAATTAAGAGGTGGTGCTCGTTCTTCTAGTAGCTTTACATATATTTCTGAAAGTTCACCTGAAAATTTAAATGTAGATTATGAGCAACTTCAAAAAAATTATGGTATAGATGATAATTTAGATGATAATTTAGAAGATATTCAATCACCCGATAATCTTGAAACACCACCAGTTACACCTGGTAATGCTAGTCAAACTCAAAATACTAGAGGTGGAGGTCATGGTAATACAGGTAGGCCTCCCCTCCCTATTAAAAGAAATCGAAGATTAAGAAGTAAGTGTTTTGGAATTTTTTTGAAAGATTAGAAGAAGATAAAAATAATGTAAGATGTCAAATTTGTAAGAAAGTTTATAAACATGAGACCGAAGGTAAGACAGGGGGAACGGGTCAACTTAGTAGGCACATGGTAGATAACCACCCTATTGCATGGGGTGCTGATGAGGAAGGTGGTCAGCAAAAACTTAACCCGGGTACTGGCGGTTTAATGGGTAAATACGATATTGTGAAAAATCGGGAAGAATTAGCTAAAATGATTGTTTTAGGTTGTTTACCTTTTAGTTTTGCTGCTTCACCATATCTTGTTACTTATGTTCAAAGAATTTATAACCCTTTGTTTAAAGGTATTCCTAGAAATACTTGTAGAGCTGATATCTTTAGGCTTTTTGGACAATATCAGACATATATCCGTTATTTGTTCGCTAGTCTTTCTTGTAGAGTTTCTCTTACTTTTAATATTGGTCGTGTTGTTAATGAAAATGATTATTTGACTGTTACATGCCAGTGGATAGATGATAAATTTTGTATACAAAAGCGTATTATTACTTTTAAATTTGATGAAGATCAAAGTCATACTGGTGTATTTATAAGTAATACTATCCATGAAGTTGCTATATTTTACGATCTTTCAGAAAAAGTACTGTATGTCATTTGATAACGCTTCTAACAACAATGCTGCTATTAGAATATTAAAATTGTATCTACACCCACCACTTCCTGAAATATTTTATGTTAGGTGTGCATGTCATATTTATAATTTAATTGTGAAAAGTGGCCTTGAATTATTTAGAGATGAGATCACTTTAGTTAGAAGAGCTGTTGGTGTAATTCAAGAAAATAATAGAAGTGCTAGATTAAATGTATTTAAGAAAAAATGTGTACAATATGGACTAAAACCAAGAATCATGCCTGAAGAAATAGTTACTAGGTGAAATTATACTTATTTATTCTTAAGATATTGTTATAAATATAAAATGCCTATAACTGAAGTTGCTAATTCTCATTATACCGATCCTAACCGTTTGTTAACATCTAGAACTTGGGATGTCATTGAAGATATTGTAAAATTTTTATAAAAATTTTATGTGACTACACTTGAGTTTTCTGGAACTTATTATCCTACTATTGCAAATGGTTTAGTTCATATTACTGAAATGTTTCTTTTACTCCATAATTTGAAGAAGAAAGAAGGATACTTCCGTTGTTGAATCTATGCTAGATAAATTTAAGAAATATTTCTACCCAATTCATCCTATTTACCTAATTGGTGCTATTTTAAACCCTTCTATCAAAATGGTCACTTTTCGCTAATTAATCACTGCTTTATTTGTTTATATGGATATTGGACCAACAGAAATCCCTGATATTGAAACTTGTATTTCTAATCTATACAAACATTTACAAACTTTATATAATTATTATGCTAACATTGTTGATGCTTCTGCTGCTGTAGATACAAGTATTCCTTCAAGTTCAGTTTCAACATCTGGGATCGGTGCTTTGGAGGATAATGATGGTGTTAAAGATTATTTGATTTGTCCTACAGTAGGAGAACATCAACAAACGAGTAGCAGGAATATTGATGAACTCCAATTCTGCTTGCAAAAGTCACCAGAGACCCGCACAAAGGAATTTCTACCGCTGGGTTGGTGGAGGCGCAACTCAAATCAATTTCCTGTTCTTTCGGCCATGGCTTGAGACGTTCTAAATGTGCCGATTACAACAGTCGCATCAGAGAGCGCATTTAGCCAAGCAAGACAGCAACTAGGAGATATCCGTCATTCATTGGGCAGAAACTCTTTGAAAATTCTAGTGTGCTTCAGAGAATGGATAAGATCAGAAAGGCGAAATCAAGGGTGTGAAAAGGTAGATGAAACGTAGGACCAAGAAATTGGAGATATAATAGTTTATGGTTCCGATTCAAGCAATGCCGGAAACCAAGAACCTCATGTTGACATGGATGAACTTACAAAAATGATGCAAAGCATGTGATGTACTCTTTCTTATTTTTTATAATTGTTGTAAACTTTTAAGTTTCAAGTTCAAAAATCAAAAAATCAAAATAGAACTTGCAAATTAATTTGAAATATTATTTATAATTCAATGAAAATATAACACGAAAGCCTTTAGAGTTTGATCCTTACATATTGCTTATTAGTCTTATTAAATAATATTTTGTAGCCACTTACTTTTAAATTTTAATTTTAAAATTTTAAAATTCAAATTTCAAAATTAAAACTTTAAACTTTAAAGTTTAAAGTTTAATTCTAAGCCTTAATTCTAAGCCATAAAACTTTGTAAACACTTAAGTATCAATAACATTGAATAAGAAAAATAAAATATACTTTAAAAAAAATAATAAGTAACCCGGCCCGATCCGGACCCGTTAAGCCCGAACCCGGACGAGCCCTAATTAGACCGAAATTTCCCAACCCATTACCAGCCTATTTATCCAGCCCACTAACTACCCCGGAACAATAAGCGGACGGACTATTTTTTTTTTCGTGTCTAGCCCGGACCAGCCCATCTGGTTAACACCTCTAGGTGAAATGCCACTAAATTGTTAAATTGAAAAATTTGAAATTATTGACTAATCCGCATCATTCATGTGTAAGCTGTGAAGTAAATAGTAAGTGGTCGTTTGGTAGAGTGTATAAGAATAGTACTGAATAGGATATATTAGTAATGTGGGGATTATATTTTATTGACTATTTGGTGTGGTGTATTAAAGGTTTTGAAAGCGCAGTTCTGTCTTTATACATACTTATCCATGTATTAAAAATTATGTTATTGCTAATGTCATGATTTGCTATGTATAAGAACAATACCGAATAGGGTATATAACTAATTGTTTACCCGTGATACAGTTAAATTTGTTGCGTGGATTATAGAAAAGCGAACTGATTTGATCCTGAAATACAGCAACAACAACAACATATCCCTCGGCTCAAGAAAATGTGAAAAGAGAGAGAAAGGAAGAAGACGAAGAAGAAAGATGAAGAAGAAAGAAAGGATAGGGGGACAAATGACGATAAGAAAAAGGGAAAAAAGACAACTACAGTACCAACAATAACTATTACAACAACAACAACAACAGCAACAACAACAACAACAACAAAACAACAAGTAAAAGAAAAAATAGCATCAAATAGTAACAAACTAGAAAATATGATACACAGAGCGAACGAAACAATAAGCAAATACTAGGGATCAAAGAATACGAAGAAAAACAAGAGAGAACTAATACTACTAAAAACGAACGGGGAACTCTCGACTACCTACTAACCAACTACCCTAATCTTCGACCTCCACACCCTTCTATCCTAGGTCATGTCCTCAGTGAGCTGAAGTAGCGCCATATCCTGCCTAATCACCTCTCCCCAATACTTCTTCGGCCTTCCTCTACCCCTTATCAACCCCGCCATGGCCATCCTCTCACACCTCCTAAAAGGGGCATCTATACTCCTCCTCTGCACGTCCCGAATCATCTCAGGCTCAACTCCCGCATCTTGTTCTCCACTAAGGAAAACTCCCACATTGTCCCGAATAACTTCATTCTTAATCTTATCTCTCCTGGTATGCCTACACATCCATCTTAGCATCCTTATTTCTGCTACTTTCATCCTCTGGACATGGGAGTTCTTGACTGGCCAACACTTAGCCCCATACAACATTGTAGGTCTAACCACCACTTTGTAGAACTTACCCTTAAGTCTTAGTGGAACCTTCTTATCACATAAAACACCGGATGTGAGCCTCCATTTCATCCACCCCACAATGATACGGTGGGAGACCTCATCATCAATCTCCCCGTTACCTTGGATTATAGACCCGAGATACTTGAAACTACCCCTCCTCGGATGACTTGGGTATCAAGATTCACATCCGCGTCCACTTCATGAGTCTCATAACTGAACTTACACTCCAAGTATTCCGTTTTGGTCCTGCTAAACTTGAAACCTTTAGACTCTAGGATCTGTCTCCAGACCTCTAGCCTCGCGTTAACCCCGCTTCTTGTCTCATAGATCATCACTATGTCATCGGCAAATAACATTCACCATGGCACCTTCCCTTGAATGTGCCGTGTCAGCACATCCATCACCAGAGCAAATAAGAACGGGTTAAGAGCCGATACCTGGTGCAACCCCATCACTACTGGGAAGTGATCTGAGTCACCTCCCATTGTCCTCACCCGAGTCTTAGCACCATCATACATGTCCTTGATTACCTTAGTGTATGCTACCGGAATGCCGCTAACCTCCAAACATCTCCACGGAACCTCCTTTGGGACTTTATCGTACGCCTTTTATAGGTCTATAAACAATATGTGTAGGTCCTTCTTTCTCTCTCTATACTGCTTTACCAATCTCCGCACTAGATGAATGGCTTCCGTAGTCGATCGCCCCGGCATGAATCCAAACTGATTCTCGAAGTCACGAGCCTTCCTCTCCCTCACTTCGGCTAACCTGTACAACTTCTTGTCCCCGCCTTTGCTCCCAAGTTATGCATACATGCGTCCAAAAGCAACAGTCTTAGCCGCCGTAACTGCTAACTTTGCCTCTTTCTTTACTTTCTTATAACATTACCAATTCGTCCTTTTTTCTTCCTCGTTTGTGCTCTCCACTAGTTTCAAATAAGCCACTTTCTTGACTTCAACTTTACCTTTGACCTCCGCATTCCACCACCAGTCCCCTATACGTCTCCCAGGGTATACCTTTGTAACCCATAAAAACTCTCTCGCAGCTTCCCTAATGGAAAGGCTGTCATGGCCCACACCGCAGTCGCATCCCCACTACTCCTCCAGGCCCCCATCGCTATCAACCTCTCCCCTGATTCCTGGGCTTTGTCCTTAGTCAAGTTTCCCCACTTGGCTCTAGGTTGACTGCACACTGCTCTCTTCTTTCTATTCCTCTTGATACCCAGATCCATTACCAGAAGCCTATGTTGGGTCGTGAGACACTCACTCGGGATGACCTTGAAATCCATGCAAAGAACTCTATCACATAAAAATATTAAATAAAAATATAAGACTTAGCATTGAAATCGAAAGAAATAGTAGGCAGCTTGGTTCCAGGAGCAAGGCTTCCGAAGGCAACGGTAAGAACAATATTAGACAAAAAATAAAGTATTATTTAGTTTGAGAATAATGTGTAGCATAAGTTTTGTCAGAGATTTTTTGTGTGTTACAATGGTTGTTGAAGATACTATTTATAGCTATACCTAGGGACAATATCCTAGGATCAAGCCCCTCTNATTCTTCATTAAAATCCATCCGATGACAAATGTTTGTTTGCTTCCGTTGACTGTGTTCCCTTTGGGATCTACCCGATATCACTGAAGCTATTGTCCTCAATTTTGGTTTCCACTCGCTTCATCTTTCGTCCGCCTCCGGTTCCATGTGTCATGTAATCATTAGAGCATTTAATATAAACTTATTTTACCCTATACAGATAGTCCCCCTACTTTCCGGTAGCACATCTTTGTGTCATCGGGAAGTTGGTGATGATTCCTTTCTTGGCGGAAAAATTTCTAAACCCTTCTGAAAAGTTTCTGACGCTTGATAAGATGCACGTCTCCTCGCATTTAATACCCCGAACACGTGTTACCCCAAGATTTAGCAATATTTTTGCCGGTTCTCGAGGTAATCATGGCCACGATTTTAACCGCCTATATCTTTACTTATACACCTCATTCTTCTTCTTTCACTTCTAACAACTTTATACGCTTTCTTAACTTCTTTGCACTTAACTCCCTTCTGCTTTCATCTTTCTTCAAAAAACTTTATCATCTCCTTATCATTATGGCTTCTTCTATCTTTTCAAGAACTCTGGTATTCCCTTCGGTGGGATGTCCCTCCTACCTAGTCCCCTGACCATGGAAATTTGGGACATAACTATTCACCCCCTTCTGCAGATCCCTAAGGGAGGAGGAGCGTCTCTCTCTCGGTCTCAAAGGAATACCACCTGCTGTCCAGGCCGATAGTGCTCTCCAACTACCTGAAGCTGCTGGCTTTATAAAAATATAAGAATAAAATACACTCTCTTTCAGGGGAGTGTATGTTAAATAGCGCCATGCACAATGCAGATGCGATATTGTACTTGTTCTCTTTACTTCTTATTTTTATTTGTTTATTGCAGCAGGGTCTCTGACTTCGATATTTGTTCTGCATGCCAACTTTTTCTCTTCCGAGGGCCTTCAGAGATTGATCCTTGACAAAGAGGGGCTTATGTCCGAGCGGGATCAACTGTTAGCCGAGAGGAATTAACTCATCGCACGCCTCCTAGCACTAGAGACGAAGGCTACTAAAGCGGTCGAGTTTGAGGCCCAGTTGCAATAGAGTGAGCAAGATATGATGGCTCACAGTCAAGAATCCACTCATCTACATGCACAACTTCAAGATTCAAAGGCTAGGTGGGCTGAATCTCAAGATGTTGCTCTTGCTGCTACCGAGCACGAGTCTTCCTCCATTGAACGAGAAAATAATTTGGAGGCATATTTGAATTCCAAAGCTAAAGAGGTTGCTGCTGCCGAGGAGAAGCGGGATCAAATGGAAGATATGTATAAGAAGATCATAGAACAAAATAAGGTTCACATAACCATAATCCGTGATCTCGATCTTAGCTTCAGTGCCATGAGATCCGAGTGGGATGGACTTTTGACCGAGGTTGATAGGCTTAAAGCAAAACACCAACACCAAGGGGATTCCCTCATCATTTAAAAAAGATATTCTATGTACCATATGAGGAGTAAAACCTTGGAAGATTCCAAAGAGGTCGTTATTGATATAGACGATGAGATCGCCAAGGACCGAATGTTGGAGTTAACTGCTCGAGAATGCCTCCTGGCTTAGCCTGATGCAACTGAATCTTCTAGTGTCGGTTCTAAGTTCTCACAAACCAAGGAGGAACTTGAAGAGAATAACGATGAAGGCCAAGATCCTCCACCGACGGTAGATCCGCCTACTTCTCCCGGGGGCGTAGATGCCTCTCTTCCCCCGTGTTCCGATGGCGACGTAGTTTAGCCTTTTTTCTTTATTTGCTTTTGTTGTTTTTCTTTTGTATTTTTCTACTTATGCCGTTTGGCATGTTTGATAAATTAAAAAGACCTTTTGTTTAAGCATTGCGCAAAGTTCATTCTTTTTTGCGTCGAATTAAGTAAGGCTTCGGGTGTGTTTTCTTCCGATAGCCGTTGGGTTTCGGGCATAAACTCTTTCGGAACTAACCCTTTACAATGAGGGTTTCATAAGAGAGGGCCCTCTTATATTTATGGTTCTCTTAAAGAGGACGTCGCCTGTTCATTCCGGCACTAGCATTTGAAGTTTTTAGTTAACTTTCAAATGAAAAAAGGACTTCATTTTATTTATTCTATCTTCAAAAGTACATAAGTGTTCATTTGCTGAAAGAAAAAAAATTTTCAATACATGTGGCTAATTTGTACAACTTGTTTCTACGGGGCTAGCTGCACAGTCTTCGGTCCCGATGAGATATCGTTTCTCCCGGGTCTTATAGTCCCGATTTTTGTGGCAATCATGCTGCCGTATTCTCGTACTATTCCCCCAATGTTCGAATGCGAAGTATACGAATTGTAATACTGGAGGTCTTGCTCCTTTGAGGAAAAACACTTGTGAACGGTTGAATAATCTTTGGTCTGATGGCAAGCTTCGTTTCCCATTAGGAATTTTGCCATCGAGCCAAAGATTATTTAACCATCACATAGTGACTTGTTATTTTGTTGCCTTGTCATTTAAAGGTCTTAACTCTGCTGATAACGTTTCCTTCATAGTATGCTTTCCGTTGTTGCCTCGTTAAAAACCTTGTGAGAAAAATCCAATTGGGACAAAAACTGGGCAAAGGGAAAAAGAGTGCAGCACATACTTTCAGTATAAGCAGGACCCATCATGTCACGACCCAAACCGATGGGCCGTGACGTGAACCCAGTGCCTTACTCAACCGAGTACCAACGTAACGTATCTATCTTATTACATCATCATATACACGTGACATACGGGCCTAATAGTCCAACAAGATCATTAATAAACTCAAAACATAGGCCGACAAGGCCTTACAATCTTTCATATACATGACATCTGTCTACAAGCCTCTAAGAATATATAATTGTCATAAAGGTCGGGACAGAGCCACGCCATACCAAACAATACACATCTAAATCATACTGACCAAACAAGCAACTTCGGAGCAAATGCAGTGCACCGGCATCTTCCGCTGAGCTGATCGCCTACTTGGAGGACTCTCGACCTGTCTATCGAGACATGCGGGCATGAAACGCAGTGTCCCCAAGCAAAAGGGACTTCAGTACAAATAATGTACCGACTATGTAAGGAAGGAAAACCGGTAAATAATAGACATGAGAGAAACATGTAGTAAAAGATTCGACATGTATGCTTGCATAGCTCTGTGAATCATTTCATTTTTATAATGTCATGCATATGCGTATAAATGTCATACCATGCATAGGTATATACGTTCTTAACATAATCAAGCCTCTGAGGGCATCCCATCATATCATTTCGGCCACTGTGGGCAAATTATTAATGTATACCAGTTGATCAGGTGGTGGTGCGTATATAACGCCGTAACCTTTTTCCATATCCCATATACATATAATATACACATATACGCGTATATAACGCCGTCTGGTCATGAGTCAATGTAAATGAATGCAATGCATGAGAAGTACGTCAATAAAATCTTTCAGAGTGTCATAAGACCATTATACCTCTAATTAATATCATGAAATAAACTTTATCAACTTACGTATTTTCTGAGACCCATGAACAGATGATAGAATAATAAGACATATGAGGAATCAAGAATATAGGCACCCCTAGTATTTCTATGAATAGAGTTATTTATGAAAGTTGCATATTTTGCTCGTTTCATTTGTATCATTTGGATCATGCTAAAAGAAAAGAAGGGATAGCCTTAACATACCTGAACCGATTCTCTTGACAGTCCCTCCAATACACGTTGATTGCGACAAAATATGTAATGGCGGATCGAAGTAGGGAAAAATCCGTATGATATTCTTTGAGAAAGATTACACCGTACTCCATTAGAATCGCAAAATCCCGTTGCTATAACATTATGTAGTCTTTGTATGAAAGATTGAAGCCACTTCACGTTGCTAAGATAATATGGTATTTTTGCCTGAAATGTTGTTGAAGATCCGTTTCTTACCAAATGGAAATTAGAGAGGTCTTTATGATTTAAATGGTGTGGGCCTCACATCTAATGACTAAGCCACATAATAAACCTAAGTGTGACACGTCTCAATCATAACTCAAGAGTCATTAAGTTGGTTTTAGCTTGCTACGAAGCCCTCAGTAATCACACATGGATTTGTCCCCCTTAACAATTATCCAAATAATTATCCACAAAATTCAATTTACAAGTTAATCTCCCACTAAAAAAATCCATAATTACCCAATTATCCACATAATTAAGAATTATCTCAATTTACTTAAAATACTACTCACTTTTAACACCTTTTATACACCTCACTATCATAGCCATGTGGTACCTTGTATGGTATTAGTCCATAAATACCGGGTATTTTAGCTCGGGTCGTATTTTATCCCAAAATGTCAAACTTCGACGAAATTCATTTTCTTCGATTTGCTTACCCTCTCTCCTTCACGAATTTACTCATCACTTATTTGAAATAGCATAATGCTTGTAATCGCAAAATAATCCCATTCCCGAACTTACGTCCATTAACTTACGATGGAACTTTAACGTACAAAAATGCGGGATGTAATATCTCATTTCCGAGCTTTCATCAATTTATTTATGGCGTACTTTTACATATGAAAATATGGGGTGTAACGTCATTCCCCCCTTTGGAACATTCGTCCTCGAATGTTGACTTATGCACTTATCATTATCATAACCTATAGCTCTTGCGAATAC